GGCTGCAAAAACAGTATCTAAGCGGGTAATTGTTTTCTTAATAATAGTGCGAATTTGTAAATACTGCATGCATACTTTATTTTAATTGTTGGAGTCAACCTTTTATCATATTCTCTTCATGACTCTGAGTACTGTTCACATTTTTCCCAAGATGGTTAGGCAAATGTGATGTTATGTTAAACATCTAGAGACTGAATCTGTCTAAATACATGTGGCTGTTGACGGCAGAAAAGAAAAATGACATCTTACGTCAAAACAGTTCGAAGCTCTGAGTTTATCTGGAATAGAGGTCTGCAAGAAGAGAAGGAAATCAGCCCTAGATTGGACAGTATTCTGTTCATCAGTGATGTAATCTGTGGGAAAACAGGCTGCATCAGCTGTCATCAGCAATCTTTTCTGTTTTTGGTTTCAGAATAAATAATTATAAAATGAGACTGCGATGAGCCCAGGTTAAAATAGTAACCCAGATAAGTCCCTCTATTGTACCATGTGGGAAAGAGGTGACATACTGTATGTGAGACCAGATTTCAGTTCTTTTGAGTTTTGTTTGTTTCACTTTGTTGTCTCGCTCACATATGAGAAGTCTTTTTAGTTTTCAATGAAATATCTTAGAAAAAAAAGAAAACTGCTCCATAGGTTCCCCGTGACATAGGATGTGATGGAAATACTGAGTGGCAAATATTCTCTTTAGTTGTCATGACAGGTGGAAAAAATGTAGATAATGATCATGATAGATGCTATATTCTATTTTAGGAAGTGTTCCTCTAATTTTTCATTTGATCTTTTCTTTGCTCTTTAAGCAGGTAAAGTATTTATTGAGACACAAGCAGAGTTTTCTCTGAAAGATACAGCAATATAAAAATGTGTACCTCCATTAGCATTCCAAGTCTGAGTAAGATGGAGTGCCTCAGTCTTGACCTTCAATCATTCTAATGAGCAGATTGTCAGATACATAAATGCACCATTAATAGCGCAGGAAGAAATTTAAATGTCAGTGCTATCAGGGACAAACTCTTAATGCCATTTTTAAATAGAGCTCTAAAGAGACTTGAAAATCTTGTTCTGTTGTTCAGGCTTTAAATCTTTTCAAGCTGAAGTGTAGCATCCTTTCATTTAAAAAAGAAAGTATTAATTTTGTTATGGAATACCACTTTTAAAGTTTCATTGCTACATTATTAAAAGGTCAATTTGTTTTTTTAATATTTATCGCCCTTTGCCCTCTGCTTGTTATTGATACTGCTACTGGAAATATGGAATCATCAGGTTTTTGCTAGTTTGCACATTCTGGTTTATGTTGCTCATTTTTCGTGAAGTGTTAGCTTACTTGTTTTCAATAAGTTTTATCTGGGATTTTGTTTAACAAGTATTATACTAGATTGACATACAGTATTATAGACATTTCTGGACACACTACATGTAGCTAAATAGATGTGTAGCCTTGCATAAAGGTGTTTCCCTTTGGAAATAATATATGTGAATAACACGTAAATGCTTGCCGTTATTTGTCCTACATATATTCATGTGATCACTTCGGTTTACCTGTGAAAAGTGTAAACACATTGCGTTTGATTCACAGTCAAATATTCGATGAGTGAGTGACACACACAGTGCATTACTTCTAAAAATATTATTGCCATGAGCTGAAGCTGATTCACTTCTAAAACCTCTGATATCCTGAAGTTAAAGCTGTGTAAAGCAAAGCAAAGCTCAGTAAAGGGCTGATTAAATTCTGATACAGCATGGGGGAGTCAGTATGGTAAAACATGATGCAAACGATGGTAAAACCCAGGGAAACTTTGCGAACTTACTGCTAAAAATGTGCATGTAGAATCTGACCTGGCTTTGAGTCAATCTGTTTGCAATCAGTACAATAGGTCAGGTGGGACAGCTTGAGACCTGTCTTTGTCCAGTGTTCCCCTGGACTGTCACTCTCTCAGAGGAATAGTTTGAACTGGCAGATCTTAGCAGTTGAGTGTGAAGAGGGAAAAAAGAATGTATTTCATTTCAGAAATAGGTGAAAAGAGATGATTTATTTTCAAAAAGTGATGTTTTCTTATATATTTTTGAGTTTGCCTTATGTTGCACTTATTGTCCAGGTAAGAGAATCCATCTCAATTAAAGGTGGAATAATTTATAAATATAATTCTATTAGAATGCTTAGGCCTGTTTCTTCATGGAAACCAACATACCATAAGTTATATTTATAGAAAGCAAGAAGCAGTGGATAGGAGTCTGGAGGGTCAAATCCCAGATGGGAACTGGAGTACCCAAGAGCACGGTTCTTCACTCAAATTGTTCTAGTAAATACCCTGCTAAAATAAACTTGTATTGTCCAGGTAATTTGTTGTAAATGAAATGTGTTCTTATTATTGTATATTATCTTATCTGGTAAACTAAAATTATCAGGAACCTAGACAGAACTTTGACTATAGCTGTAGATACAACCATGCTATTTATTCAAAAAAAGGAAATAGAATGTGTTATGCTTATGGTCAGCATCTATAGCTTTTTTGTAAAAGGAAATTGACTATTATTCAGTCAAAATAAAGCAGCGGCTTAGCTAACAGGATAACTGATAACTTGATAAAAACAACAAAATACCCATCACAAATCTTTCTGGTTACCATTTTTCATCCTTCAGATTTGTGAGCGTACATTTTTATATATGCACATATACACTTTGTTTTCCGACTTAACTCTTTATTTTTAGTGTACATTTTTAATGCAACTTTGAGTTTCTTCAAACTTTCAAAGAACCTGCTCTGTCAACCTGATCTACTGTTACCTGAGTCCCTAATAGCACTGCCTGTCATTGAAAATCCCATCATGGCATTATCTCAGAGATGTCTGTCAGAGATTTTTCCTTTGAAGCAGTGATGCCTGTCACTTGAAAAAGAAAGCTTGTTCAAGGAGCATTTATGGTAAGAGACTAGAAAGTATAAAATACAATTACAGCAGTTCAATTTAGATAAAATTCAAATGCCTACCATTAAGGCTCCAAAATGTTCCTCACCGTGTTTGGATCATTTTGTAGAAACAAAATGTTCTCTCTCCTGATGAGGCTTTTATCTTATGCTACCACGTCTCTGCTCCATTAAAGAGTTTATTTATGTCTTTTGCACGCTTTCAGCGGACTATGGAAAATAAAGAAGAGGAAAATAGATTTTAGCTTGTGGAATATTTTTTCTTTTTTAATTATTGTGTTCTACCCACACCTTGCTTCTGAATAGTACTCCTAGAATAGACATGCAACACTGCAATGTTTATGCATGTTTTGTATGTGTGCTGTATTTGATCTGTGTGTCACATGTTTGGTTGGTTGTTCACTCCCATCAAAGTCTTGCATAATTTAGGTCACAACATGTGAAACTAAAGCTACTGTACACAAATGTACAATCCCCAGTCATTGTGTATTGTAAGTTGAGGGATGCAAAATAATGTGAAAAATACATTTGCTAGGATCCTATTTGCTAGGATCTGAAGGATACAGTATGAACAGGATTATCATGGGAGTAATTGGGGTTACATATCCAAGGCATTTCTTGTGTCTTTCCTGTGTTCTGTGTGGCAACTCTGCTGAGATTATCCAACAATTTATTATATTGCTAAAGAAATGGTTAGGTGTATGAAAAGTCTCAATCCCTTAATCCCTTAAACAAGCTACTTACTGTGATGTGAAATACTACTGTATGTGGATAAAATAATTTTAATACTCTTATATTATATGTTTCTTGTACTTAGCTGAGATTTCGTTTTAATTATATTTTGCCTGTCTGAAACTGCATCTCTTTATTGTCACTTTTTATATGATCAAGGAAAGAATTAAAAATAACAGGAATGAAAGAAATATAACCTAAAAGGGGGACTTCTTTACTGTGTGAAATCCTTCAGATAGAATAACTCTTGGAGAACCTGAATAATTCAGTAAAGGAACACATCCCAGTACTGAGAGCATTACCTGTGTGAGCTTTTATTGAAGGCCTAATGGGAAATACTTTAAATAGCAGGCACATGTTTAATAAAACAGTGCATCTTTAAAAACGCACTGTGAACACAGCAGCTAAAAGACCTACTGTATGTATCCCCTAAGTGAAAAGTAATGTAGACCATCAATTTTTCATTATGCACTACTCTTTCCAATGAAATCAGGAATTCTGAGCCTTTATCTTTTTTCAAATTTCATCTTAAAAAAATGCTTGCATAAACTAACCCTACACATTTTATGTTCTTTATCTCCGGCTTTTTCTCAGTTTTATTGTATAGGGTTTTGAGACAGGAAAGGTGCCTTATACAATAAGTGATGCTGCAGCTCCCTAGTCTTAAAGTCTTTATAAAATAATATTTTCTCCTTCTTATTGTTAATTTGTTTGTTTAGTTTTTTGTAGTTCTTTGTTGACAAGCTGGTGTGTAGTTTTGATTAATGTTTTCAAATGCATAGAATTTACTGAACTGTAATTCAAAATTTGTGTGAAGGCTTGGCTCTAACTTTTGTTTTTTACCTTATTTTCATAATGCAAACTCAACAAAAGTATAAAAGTGTAGTAAACAGACAAGTACACTGTAGGATTAGACAGAGAAGGACAGGATAAGACAGGATAAGGCGAAAGAGTAAGGGTTTTAAAGGGAAACTGTCATTACAATAGATTACAGTGAATTCAGTATAATTTGCTTATTACATAAACAAAAGGGAAAATACTAATTACAACAACAATTATAATCTAACGTAACAGGAAAGCAGGAATGATAATGGCAGTAAAAAGGCTAGTTGGGATATGGTGGTGTACCACATATTTATTGGGATAAGTTGGGATATGGTGGTATACCACATATTTATTGTGAATATATTATTTCTGTTGTTGTTGTTGTTGTTGTTGTCGTTATTAGGCCTTTGTTAGACTGTTATGTAGTACTGCAGCTTTCCTAGTACAGACTGTATACTATACTTAGTCTGACTGTAGAAATTGTTCCTTACTTAACTTGTTTAACCTTTTTTTTATTAGCAAGCTGAGATCAACATCTGAATCTGGAAAAGGCCTTATCAGTGAGGATGAAATGAATGGCAAAGGCCTATATTTGGATAGTGGTAAGTGTGTGCATGTACAGTATGAAATACTTTCATTTCATGTGAAGGAGCAGTATTAATTGTACATGTAAAAAATGGATACATGTTTATTGACACATAGATACATCCAAACAAAGTGTGGGCGATCTTGCCCATATTGTCAGATTGTCGGTCCTCAAGTCAGGTGGACCAATGCTAAAGTATGCTCTAAGCATCCTTAATCCTTTATTTTGTTAGTCTTGCTTATATTTTTTAAATTGAAATCATTAGATATAACTTAGATGTTTGCCTTTACAATAAAATAGCACAATATTACAGAATATACAAAAGTAACCCAATAACCATGTCTGAATATGTCTTCATCTTAAGTACAACTTTTTTTTGGTGGCATGAAACCAGTTCCTGGCATCTTCCTGGAAATGTTTCCTTATTCTTCAACACATATAGCATTGAGCTCTATATTGACTTGATTTCCTTTTTGCAACTACTACAGTACTTCAGGTCACTAAGCAACATTTCAATGGCATTAAAGTGTAGGGATTAAAATGGCTAATCTGTAAATGCAGTTTTCCTTTTTTGTAAAAGTTCCTTTGGGGGAATATGCAGAATTTTAAGGAATTATTTTCTGCAGCTTAAATTATTCTTCCATATTTTGCAAAAGTCTTGCTTGGTCTTCTCAGTTCTCCAGTATTTGCCAATATAGCCCACAAAGACCTTTTCAATAATCCAAGATATTCTCTTTTTTTAATTGGATGTTTCTCCTTCTTCGTTTAGTTGTACTACTGCCTTTTTAATCTTGTTGTTGTATTATTTACTTTTCAACCTCTTGTGTTTTTGAATCACAAATATTTAATCACAATTTACTTTTTTTAGCATTTGCTGATTACATTTATCCTACCATAATGATCGAATGATAATTTTCAGTCATTTTCAGTAATTATCCAGAAATGAATTTCATAGTAATGTGTCTATTCCCCAAATACAATTGCTGAGGTATGAAATTATATTTTCCAAGTCATTTTAATTTAGTATTTATTATATAATGTTTTTTAACCAAATCTGTTAGAAAATCTGTTCACATCTTCAAATAGAGCAATTTGATATTGTAGAAATCACTTTCAACTTTTTTCTGTTTCTTTTAACTTGACAGAAACTACTTGAAATGTTTTTCTGTATGGCCCATCTATAATGAAGTTTATTTTTTGGACAATATGTTACTTCTATTTTCCTTTTGATTTGACAGTAAGATTATTTAACTGAAGATCATATCATTGACCATACAATTGTATCTTGGACATCCTGGGTGAAACTGGACTTGAAAAAAAGGACCTGCTGATATTTATTTTGCAAGATTTTATTTAATTTAAATTTGTTTTTTGTTTTTTTTTTAAAGGAGGGTATATAAAGGAGAAAGAGACGAAAACAGCTTTAGTAAAAAGCAGGCCATTTTGGTCCATTCACAAGGATTTTCTTTTTAGAAGGCTTATTTCAACTCAGTGTTGTTGGCTAATAATGACCTTCTTGTGTTTTAGATAGTGTCATGTGGCTGCCAATAGAGAACAATTGTGAGAACAGTCAATTGGAAAGCAATCCAAGCTTAGCAAAAAGGCTATTGTTCTGATATTGATTATGGTCCAGAAGCTAACCTTTTGTAACATTGAGACTAAATCCCACACCAGCTCAATGTCTTCTTTGAGCTTTCTTGTTCTTCCAATGTTTTGTCCCTACTTCTCTTCTGGGAGTTTGTAAGGTTTCCTTTAAATATAATGATCCTTAAGTCAATGCATTTGTAACAGACACAGTATTGTCCATATTTTGTAACAAACACTTGTAACAAACTTTAGTTTAACAAACTTGAGAAAATAATTTTGCTTAAAGAATAAGAACAATGACAGAAAATAAGAAAAAATATATTCATGAGCTCTTTTGGCAGTAATCCATATACAACAAACAGTACTTACAGATTGTTTTGTTTTGTTGGTAGTGTTTAAATTTACAAGTGCTCATTTACGAAGTCACATGGTGTTATTGAACAGAGGTTCAAGTGGAGGTCGAATTCTAAACTCACACTTCATATTCCCTGTGCATAAAAGCTCCCTGTCTGAACATTTTCTAGCACTCTACATTTAGCAGAAGGACATGTTTTGAATGCAGCATTGATGGGATGTTATCTTCATCACATTCATCCAGACGTTTCTTCCCACTTTTTCATCCTTAACCCTCCACTGAAAACAAGTGGCTCTCTGCGCTCACCATACCATCTTCTTTCAGTTCTACAGATGTCAGCAAGTCTTCTAGAAACTCTGAGCAGCTGCAGCAGTTTTTTCCCCTTCCCTCTATCTCTTCCTAATCTCACCTAAGCCATTCTCTTTCTTTTCCCCTTTCTCTCTGTCTCTGGACAAGTGTCCATCTATGACCCCAGCCTATACTGTACATATTGGTTAATCTCTTCCCCTCTCCCTTATCTTTCTTTTCACTGTCCACCACAGGAGCCTCTGGTCACTAACTCCCATTCTGTCCCATGGGTATCACTCTGCTATGAAACTATTGTATGCTTCTTCATTCACCTTCTATGCTGTCCCTAGTTCCCTACACAATTGACTCCCCTTTTTGGTTGCCGTTTGACTGTTGTAGTGTTGGCCCTCTTCCCTCTCCCAAGGCTTCCAGCTGTATATGTAGTTGACATTCCTTCTCTTTCCAGGGTTCAGCTTGGAATACATTCTTATCCATCTAGCAGACTTCAACAAGCTGTACCTCTCCTCCCTTTTCCACGTCAGGCCACTCTTTTAGTCCATCATAGCATTTTCTGCTGCCCACCACAGAGTTCCAATCCAGGGTTATCCTGTGTAGCACCTGCTAACTGGTAGTTTTGTTCCTGTTTCCGTGCCTAGTTACTCTTTCAGTAGATGCAGTGTCTTCTGCTGCCCACCTCAGAGTTCCAATCTCAAGCTCGTTAGTCCCGCTATTCCTACTAGCTGCTAATGTTGTCACTTGTTTGCTGACTCACATTTTGTCACCTGCAGCAAACATGATTCTCATGCACTGCATATCCGAACCTACTCATTCAAACAAGCTGAAGCCTGCTTCATGCAGTATGCACTTTTCCAGCGAAACCGCAGCCGATCCTTATCTCTTTTAGCTCAGTGTTTGAAATCTGCATTGGTGTTTTGGGGATTCTTATGAGGGGATATGACAGCACTGATCTCGGACCAGCACGGTCCTTTCCCCAGCCAGGCTAGTTAAAGCCAAAGTACTAATCACACAGTCTTTTTACATGTGTTGGCTCATTTAATCTTTATTAGAATCTGACAAAACAACTGTAACTGTTACTGAACAGATGTTTATGTGGAAGATTCTAATCTCGCTCTTCTGTTTCCCTGTGCATGAAAGCGCTCAACATCTCTCTCTTGCAGCTCTTTCATAAGGCCCATTACAAGAGAAAAAGCGACAACCATCGCATCATTCCATTTGAGCCACATCCTGGCTAAACACAAAAATCATTCAGGGATCGAAAAGTAATACAAGCGTTTGCTGAGGCTGCTGACTTGCTGTTTGGAGATTTCAAAATCAAAACGTTTTGGCAAGGATCAGATAGCTGTTGCCTGAAATCAGAGTTTCTCAAGTCGTCTAAACATGGTGAATATGCCAAATTAGAGGATGACCAGTGCCTTCTGGATTTAGCATTGCTCACAGACTTGACTGAACTGCTGAATGAGCTGAATGTCGACCTGCAGGGACAAAATTAAAATGTCATTGACATGATCAGCAGTGTCAAAACACGTTAAAAAAATCCTACTGGTGTTCTCAAGTAAGCTTCTCAGTGCCAATGTTCACATTTAGGTAGGATATTCTTTTTTCTAAAATGGGGAACATTACTTGTTCACTTGCTTTTATTTGCTGTCATTTCAGTGATGGGTATAGTTATTGTACTGATGTGCCCACAGTTTGTTTTTCTTATATTAGAGCTTCAAATTTACACTGGTAGATCGAGCTGGACTGGCAAATGAAAAAGTAGATCTTGGTTGGGCACCCCTGTTCTATTTGTTCTAAAAATGTTATGACTTAAAAAATGATTTAGTTTTGTTGAAAGCCTTTCATGAATCCATCAAGAAGTGTTTTAGTACTATCAAAGTGTTTGTTTCTCATATACAATTTTGTTTGTTTTTGGTTGTACACAACAGATGGCATGAAAGCATGACAGACATAATAAGCAGTTTATGTACTGTAGATTTGTTTTCAGTTGATGTAGAAATGTATTGGAGCTCAGTATTCAGAATGGATTAATGATTAACCTGTGATTCCAAGAAGCATTATTGAAGTGGAAAATGCTAATTTTAATAAAGGAAAAACATTTGAAGGAAGGTAAATTAAAACTTTAAAAAATGTACCGCTCAGTAGACACTTTGTAAATGAACAGTGAATAATGGACCATTTGCTGTTTAAAAACTTTTTTTTTCTTTTAAAATGGCTTTAATGAATCAAATCCTCCAAGCAGATGAAGAATTTGGCACTCTTCCTGTCAATAAACGCTCCATTAGAACTAATCTCACAGAAAGAACACCAAGGGAAAACCTCTGCTGGTTTTTAAGTGGAGGCTTAAGAAAACAACACATCTCTTGCACTTTGTTTCTGAACCTTCAATTTTTTTCAGTGTCTTTCAGTGGCTGAAACCAGGTGTTCAGAAGTGGTTATTCACAATGCAATTGATTAGTCACTTCTAAAATTGCCACAACACACTTAGAGCTTTTCCTTCTTTTCTTTATTGTTCCTCCACTTTTATAACATACTGCTGGGTTATTGACTCATCTAATTGCACAGACTGTGCATATAAATATTTGTGTCAGTGCTGGGACTGATTCTGCCCTCTTATGAATGTTGACAGAATGAGGTATTGTTAAGCAAGGCTTTGATAAAGTTCTAGGAATGTTAATGGTTATCATGGTCATAATGATTATAACCATCTTTAGTTCATATTGTAACGACAGCAGAGCTTGGTATGGAATGGAGCAGGCGTAGGACTCAGGAAAAGAGCTTGAACAACACATTTATTAACTCAAACCGGGGAAGGTACACACTCAGGGACAGGGATTACAGGGCTGCACCTACACTAATAAAGACAAGGAAGGGAAGACACTGTCTCCCAGCCTCCGTCCCACTATGTACAGCCCCGTAGTCCCGCCCCCAGGCGCTATTCTCAGCCCGCCTTGCGTGCGCGTGGCTAAAACGCGCCATGTGGCATGACAATATTCTTTCTGTTGTATGCATAAGGAATTTCTGAAGTCATAGTTGGATCTGTAACGGTCCTTGGGGTTTCCGCCCCTGCTGCTCCTGCCCTGCTAGTTCATCCCTCACTGCCCGGGTCCCAAGCGTCACACAACAGGGAACTTGCCAGCTGAGCTAAAGGAGAGCTCCCCCAGCCCGGGGCGGCTGAGATCCCTGTGATACGCAGGGGCGCATTCGTTACAGATCTCAATTATAACATTTAATTCACTTTCGCATATTCAAGATTTTATTGAATGTTATATTAAAAGTATTTTTACTGGCATCTTGAGAATGTTACTATGTTTAGAGAATTGTATTTGTTAATAACACGAATAAAGCCTTTTGTATATATTAGGCTTAGTCAGTTCTCCATTGAGAAATATAAAGTTTTAGTGCAGCTTTGGTGCTCTATGCATCCATTAAAACTATGAATTTCCTTTTGGGCTTTGTCAATCTGAATCCAATAGTAATGGGGGGATTTGGTTTGTCTGTTTTACGATAGTGAAGAAGACAAGAAAAATGAGAAATGTTTTAGTTTTTACAATCTGTTATTATTGTGATAACTAATTATTTTGTTTAATCTCAAATGCCAATGGTCTTGTTTTTCAGTTGCTTTTTTAGTGCATGTACTTGAGTAGAGTGTAAAAAAGAAAATAGTTATATTTGCCCTAGTTTGCATCCAACAACAAGAGCAGTTAATGTATCTTACCAATTTGTCATACAGTACTTACACAGTGATTTTTTCAGCAGCTGTATTTGACACTTATCCAGTTAACCTAAAACTTTTAATCTAATGTATTCTTTCTTATACATTTTTTAACAGATGAAGGCAACATAAATGAATTTTATTGTCCTGCGAAATCTGTGTTCCTGAAAGCTGGAGGATCTGATCATCTAGAAATTCTTTACCTTCCATTTCACCTTGGAAAACAGTACTGTACCATTATTTTAGCTAATGAGCAGGTAAATGTCTTTTTAAATTTTTAAATACTGTAATATACAAATCTTAAAGCAAATTATTCAACACAGTCAAGCGTGAGCACTTTATGTAGTGGCAGATCCTTGTCTTTAATATATGGCTTTTTTAATCTGTAAGAAATATGCATTGTTTTCACATTAGGTTTAAAATGTTTTATTAAAACTTGTGTAGAAGGTTGCTAAATGAGAGAATCAATTTAGGCTTGGCAAATTATCACATTTTTGTTAATATTAGAATTGCAAATTGCTCGGGTGATGATTTAAAAATCAGGCACTGGGGGTTGCCAGGGTTTTACATCTGCAGCACAGAGCAGCAGTGAATCTGGGTTCTTACACCATGCGGCAGATGTGAAATCCTGGCAGCCTCTATGTCCTGGTTTTTAAATCATCACCTGACCAATCGCCTTCTTCCAGCTGGTCACATGACTGACCGCGGCAGGTCATTCAGCTTTCTGTGGAATCTAGTTCAGACAAGAGTTGCCACCATCACAAGTATGCGTCCTGTGACAATGCACATATTTATTAAGCAGTATCCACATATGAGCACTGTTTATCCAGAGATCCTGATACATAAAAATCATGTTTTATATAAATTCTGAAAACAATATAGTAGCTGCTAAATTGTAAGTCAGTAATGGGTTTTGGGCTACTTACTGTAATTACTACTCCACTTTACAATACGTTCAATATTTAGTTGAGACATTCATGCATAAACTATGCTTGCCCTTTCCATCCTGTTTGAATAATGCAGCACAACTGGCTTCAGGCTGTCACCAGATACAATCTGAAAGCTTGACCCAAAATGATTTCCCTTGTCTGTTCAGGTGGGAGAGTTAGTATATTCTGTGACTGGGACCGGAGACCTGCCTTTGCCTTCCCCACTGGAGGCAGCGCCCAGCCCCCATGTAGTGCGCGTCAGCAGTGCAGTGAGTAAGTACAGCAGGACAACAAGGCATTTGTGTAGCACCTGTGAACAACTGGTGTATCTGGAAGTAAACTTAATATGCCGTCAAACTGACAAAAAATAAAACATAAAAACAACATTTCCATCCTATTTTAGGTAAAACCTTTCATATGACACAGAATTGATATATTCCAACAGTTACAAAAGCACATGATTTAACATAACAGGTTAGTGTTAGAATAATATTGTAAATGCTATTCCTAAATGTTTCATTAAAGGAATAAATGAATAAAGTATGAAGTACGTTACTACTGTAAACGTGATGATTAGTGACCTACTGTAAGAACCTTAATTCTTACCATAGCCTGAACCATACCTACCTAACACTAACCCTAGAGTTTTGGAGTATCAAACGTCTTCTGATTGTTCATAACATCATTCACAACACGTTAGTAGATTATTTATAGGTGGGGGTTAATGCGTGTGCCTGTTCGTATCCTTCACTCTTTTGAGATCATAATAAGTCAGCGTTATCAGAAAAGGATACTTACAGTACGTATAGTAAGTGAAGAAAACAATGTTCCCAAAAATATTCACTTTGTTGTGGTGATATTTTGCAGCTCGTAAGTGACATTAAATTACTCTTTTATGTTTTCCAGTGTATATGCATATTGCATACATCACTAGCAGTTATTTAAACCCATATAACCCCAACATAACAGTTTCTTAAGTGTTGCCATGTACCCTATGCTTTCTTAGGAACTACAGTAGTCCACATTTTTTAACTGCAAAAGAATTCGGAAAACCAAAGCAATAAACAAAACGGGGAAAAAAATATAAAGCTGGCAGAGCTTATAAGATCATTGTTCTTTATGTTGCAGGAAAGGTTTCTGTAAAACCTGTGTTGTGCTTTAAGTGCTCGGCTGATAGCTGCCTGGAAGAAGCACTGAGAGTCCCCCTGGTGAATGTAGCCTGGGAGAGAGCTCTGGCCACGGCAGCACAGCAGCGCATGTCCTCTGTCGAGCTTGAGCGCAGGAAGATCACAGCAACACTGCAGAGCAGTTCTGTTAGAGCTGCAGTGGCAGCTCGCGGCTGTGCCACCTCGCAGGTAGGCCAGATAAGGCTGCATATCTGTGCATCCTACAGTATGTGTGGGATAATCTAGTGCACAAGTTATGGATTCAGAGTAAAGTCACCGTTCTGCAAGTTACTGTTACAGTAAATATAATCTAAAATTTTAAATAAAATAAGGGTAGTTATAGGGGTGGGTGTTGAAGGGTGTGAAAAACGCATGAATAATTTGCCCATTGGTGCATCTGAATTTGCACAGCTGTTATTGGTGAGCCTTTTAAATGCCATTATTTTAAAGTATCAACGTTTCCCAGCAGTTTTTCTTGATGCTGATCTAGTACATGTTAGATGGCTGAAAGAACACTGAGAAACCCATTACATAGGTGGTGTGTCACTAAAGAGGTGCTATTCATTCTGGCTCATACCTGGGTGTGTACCACTTACCACTCCACAAAGTTGCCTGATACTTGTCCAAACTTAGAATAGCAGTTTCCAAAATTAAGAAGTAATGTATGAATTAGATTCACATTAAATCAAAAAACAAATTAAAAGTGTGTTCATTTAGAAATATACATTTATAGTATATTACTAATAGGAAATGAATACACAGAAAGGCAACATACATTTATATTATCTTGAATGGACATACAGTATAGTACTTTATTTTTCAAAAATGCATTAAAAAAAGCTATAGGGACAGAACACCAGCTGTTTTTAAAGAGGCTTTTAAGGAGAGTCTGTCCTGCAGATTCAGTTGGACAAATTACATTTCATTAAAGTATAACTACATATTTAAATCTCTTAAGTGGATACCCACTTGGTTTGGTACCAATAGGAATAAACTTCTTCACAGTATAGTACGTGAACCTTTCTGTTGATTTTGAAAAGACAAGTTTGGACATTTGTTAAAATGACACTTTGTGGGTGTTTTGCTCTAGATGTAATATTGTAATATTGAAACTTTAACTGTAATATGCACAAATATCTGCCTTTCCTGTGGAATTCCTGTGTGTATATACAGGTCCAACCCCTGCAGCCTACTAAGCCAAATAAAACAGTTGAGTACAGTGTTGAAGTTTCTATGCCTGAGCACTTTGACATCCCGGAGAAAATATGGCTTCCCATTTCTGGAGAGAGCAGAGTTAACCTACACCCAAAGACACCACAAACTCTGGCAGGTAAATGTTGTATGAGATTTTTGCTAATGTTTTTTTTCCAGACTTATAAAAGCAAAGGGGAGGTTTTATGCGTCTTTAAATGAACTTCCTAATGTTTCTTATGCAAACAACCTTTATGGATTTCGATCTGTGGTTTTTATTAGTGTTCCCTTCATTAAAGTTGATAAATGCCTTTTGCACAGTGCATTTTCTCTTGCTCGCAAGTATTCAATCTATAACTGATTATCTATAACTATAGCTAGCTAGTACAGTGTGTTAGTACAGATTATACAGAAGAAGCTAATAAAGTACACACATAATAAATGTTGAATTTTTTTTAACAGGACATGACATGTTATCAACTGATTAAGCAGTAGCGGGAATGTGTTCCAAAGGCTCAGATCAGTATCCAGCATTTTAATCCATACAAAGATTTTTCCTATATAAGGTCCTAAAGGAATTGAGAAGGTTATAATTCATTCTCTATTTTGACCTCAAATTAACTGTGGATTTATGCCACCATTTACTTGTAAAGATCTTGTGGTAAATTATTTTTTATGTGTAATATTTTCATGCTTAATATGAATAATACATTTGCAGTTTGCAGGCAAATATAAATGCACAGAGATTTGTGTTATGATGGTTTGTTTAATGACTACTCATCATTTTTTCAATTGCCTTGAAAGACAAGAAAATGTGGTATTCACACACTTTCGGCATAATAATAATACTCTGCATATACCCTTCTGCTGAAGAATTACTGTACGTTTACCTTGTGGAAGGTTTGTTGTTTTTCGACTTCTAGTCTCTGGAAAATGTGAGATGCTCCGTGGTGAAAGCAGTCTAGACTGCTTACTGTAGGTGAGTCTAGACAAGGCTTGGATTTTTTATGATTGGCTTGAATATTGTTGAAGTTCTCCAAATGTCATACAAATTCTAAAATTATTTCTATAAAAAGATAGGTGAAGAATTCAGATTAAAGATAGTCTGCAGAAAGTTGTTCCAATAATTTGATACATTGAAAATTTGCATTGTTTAATTCTGAAACATCTTTATGCTTGGTAAGGAATTTACAAGCAAATACTGATGGATTTCTATTAATTCCATCAACATTCTTTGATTAACGTTATAAATTCAGGAAGCAGTCCTTGAGTTAGACCACTGAATCACATTGATCTCCTCCCATTTAGTCTAATCTGAATATTCAATTTACATAGCACTGCATAGTGAAATACCATTTATCATGACAGTGCCAACATGGAATACACAAAAGCCTTACAAGTGTCACAGGTATTTATTTTCCTGAAATTACTGTACGTCAAACTGCTGCACAGAAATCTCTCCATGTTGGAATTTGTTAGAGAAAAAAAAAACATCTGCTGTTCATATATTTTCCTCCCAAGCTTTAGAGATATACAGGATATCCGTCAGATTTTTCTTCAACCACTGGCCATCACAACCAGAGCAGAACCAGACTTCAGTCAGTCTGTGGTATGAATTAACAAAAGCAGTTAACAAGGAAACGCTGCGTAATCTGATGGAGCAGGAGTACAGTGTAGGGTAATGAAATGTACAAGAAATGATTCATAAATTCATTAAAAGGTATCTCTCTCCAATATTTAATTTACTGTACTGCATTTTTATAGAGTGTATGCAGTATTTGGCATTATTTGTTCTCCCTGTGTTTGCGTAAAGTAGGTTTCTTCTGGGTGCTTAAGTTTCCAAAAAAACATGCTGGTACAGTAGGTTAACTGGCTTCTGGGAACTGGCCCTGGTGCGAGTGTGTCTGTGTCTGCCTGCCCTGTCTTGCACCTGTTGCTTTGCTGGGATTGCTCCTCTGCAGCCCCGTGTGGTGGGTGGTAAATATAAAGCTTTCTGATTACTTTAGTAAAGACCAGCAATAGTATCATGCTAAGAAGTGTCATCCCCATAATTATATTGGGGGTTCATGAACATTTCTTGGTGGTTTAAGAAAATCATAAGAACATAAGAAGAGGAGGTCGTTCAGTCGAAATTGGTCATTTGATATTACATTAGCTACGTATGTCTAAGATGTTGTCTAGTTGATTCTATAAAAGAGCCCACAGTTATGGACTCAACCACATGTCTGGGCAGTATGCTTCTGAAGACACAAACACATGGTTGAAATAAATGTTTCCTAAATAAATGCCTGTCCTAACTAAATTCTCTTTCAATTTCCATTTGTAACTCTGTGTCCTTGTTTCACCACTCAGTGTGAAATACTCCCTAGGTTTGACCCTATCTTTTCCTATGACCCTATCTCCCGTCAATCTTCTTTGATGCAGACAAAAGAAAGTTAGTTCCCTTAACCTGTTAATATACAAAAATCTCCTGAGACCAAGAATCATTTTCGTAGTTCTTCTTTGAACTTCTTCTAAGACTACAATGTATTGTTTGTGATGTGTTGACCAAAACTAGGCATAGTACTTTAAATGAGGTTGTACTACTGCATTGTAAAGCTTTATTCCACACTTTTACTGTATAATCAAGCATTTTGTTTGCATTTTTTATTGCTTCCATTCTTTGCCCTAATGAGGATAAAAGAATAGACAGTACAAAAACACCAAGATCCCTGGGTAATGTAGCTTCCTGCATCTCAGAATCACCCATGTGATATGTATAACATGTTCTTACATATATAAGTGTGGATCACTTTTCACCTATTAATGTTGAATTTAATTTATCATACAGTAGATCTGTCCACTCCACAATTTTATGCACTTTATGCACTTTCCTTTCCACTATTTCTGTGTTTGCTACTCACTCTGTTTTTTTTGTAATGTGTATATTTAACTAGTTTGCTCTGTTTATAACTTATTGAGTATATATACAGTATACAGTATATACTGTACAGTATCAGGGAGAGTAAGGGGCCCAAAAAGATCCATCTGGCATACAGTACCATTGCTTACATCTGCCCAACTGGCAGTTCTGCTTCTTAAAATGATATACTGTTTTTGGCATGTTAACCAATTCTTGATTAATATCCATTCTTTACTTGAGTTTAAATTTTGATAATGACTGTTTTATGAATAACTTTAACAAAAGCTCTCTGTAATGCTATGATGATGTATATCACCATACTGTATCAAATGCTCCAGTATTATCTCATGTTCTTACTGTTTGCATGAAGAGTTCCATAAAGTTAAAATATTCCCTTTCCAGACCCATTATTACTGACAGAACCCTTTATCTCTAGTTGTAATATTAAATATTAGTTTTTTGGTAATGTTATTCTGAAATATTACTGATAACACAAGTACAAGAGATTTGTTTTTCCTGCTGTGTCCCCTGTTTTGTGGATTAGTGATAGTAATTAGTTATTTTGCAATTTTTAAGCCATTCTAAGTGCTTGTTAAAATATCCTAGCTAGAGGTTAATCAATAATATCTTATGTATAATTGGGAAAATACCATCAGAGACTGGCTATTTATTGCTTATTAGCCAATAACCCTGTAGTACCTAATTGTCAGTTACAATAAAATTACCCATTACTATCAGAGCTCATTCAATAGCATGGGACATGCTATTGATATTTTCTGTTGTAAAACCTGTGTGAGACATTCATTATAACATGCTTACTATATCATTATCATCTTCGTCTATTATCAATCTCCATCTTTCAGACTATTCTGCTTTTACAGTTCTTGTAATCCTGGCAATTCTAATGTCTTTTATCAGGTGCTCCTGTAGCTTTGTGTACTGTTTCTCTCTTTGAATCTTGGGGTCTTTTTTTCACAGTAAATTCACTGTAAATTGCTGTATTCCTTCTTTTTCTTAGATCTCCATTGAACCATTCAAGCAATATTTCCACATACTAAGAATTCGTTGTTTAAGGATGTATTTGTTTTAGGGTTTTGACATTACTTATGCAGTATGGTCATTCTCATTCTATTGACTCTGTTAACATTTATCTGTGCTTAATGTGGGCCGGTGCTTGCCAGAGCTGAGCTCCAGCACCTCGTAATTTGAGACAATCCGCATTCTGCTGCACATCTCCATGTGACATGAGAAATTGAATATGTACTGTAGAATGGGTGCAGCTCTCCACTGCCCCTGCTGGGATTTAATCCCAGGCGCGCTGAGCTCCTACAGTTTCTCCCTAGCCAGAGTACAGCTCCCCCATACCAGACCTGCTCCTCTGCTGCAGCACACGTCTGGATTTCAGAGTGCGGTGACGTGTACAGTAACTCAGTCAGCACTGTCAAACATCCGCTTTCACAATTTAAGAATAATTGTCAAGATACAAGTAATAGGTTTATTCCATGCTGAAAAAAAGAAGAAAGAGAACACAACGTTTCGGCCGTGGAGCCTTCTTCAGGTGTATATGGCCGAAACGTTGTGTTCTCTTTCTTCTTTTTTTCAGCATGGAATAAACCTATTACTTGTTCCTTTGCAGCCTACGCATGCTGACGCAGCTATCCGCCTGAACTACTAATTGTAAAGATGGTCACTGTTTTAGTTATTCGATTACATTTGAGTGAAATAATCTTTTTTTTGCTCACTTCAACACTTTAAAATTAGACTCGACGTGTAAAAAAAACCAGAACAGGACACCGAATCTTGTGTTTTGCTGCACTGCTGTCAGTGAATTATCAAGATTTGAATGGCATTGATATGTGATGGATTTTGCATTCTAGTGTTGCATACTCAGACATTCACAACACAGTCCTTCATAAATTAGGATAAAATTATTTGAAAATACGATACAGTGCCCTCCTTAAAGTATGGCAAATCCTTCTAGGCTCTGAGTTTTAGAAATGTCTAGTTTGTTTGCCTGGTTTGCTTTTCTAAAATGAAAAAATAAGTATTTAATGGTTTCATGAAGATAATGAAAATATTTAATTTTCTGTTATGATCCCAAATATACTGTATGTTACTCCATCCTTAAAGGTTCTTTTGCTGTTCCAGTACTGAAATGATTTTTATTATTAATTTTAGCCTTCATTGTAATATTAATTTCCATTTCCTACATGGCCTTTCTGAAGTCCTTTTTAACT